CCGCACGGCTCCCAAGGGCCAGGGCAGCAGGTTCCTGGTCCAGGGCCGCGTCTTCTGCGACACGTGTAAGGCTGGATTTGAGACTCCGGCCACCACCTACATCGAAGGTGAATAAAAAATGATTTTTCTTTTGGCTTTATCTGTGCCCTTGCAGCTTGGCTTCCTTCAGATCTGGATTCAGTTTTTAAAATTTTCGAATTTTTTATTTTAAGCTCCCTGTAAAAATGGCTAGGAGATCTGTGAGCTCGACTAAATTTGACATTAGTCAATGGAAGTCTTATTTTATATATTTTTTATTTAATTTTTTGCTTACGAAACCCTCAGTTGTTGAGTGTGTAATAAATTTAGAACTCGCATCTATTTCTTAGATTTTAAATTAGTCCATGATGAAGGTGGTACTTGCAAATGGATTATATTTATTAATGTAAAATGATCGAGGCATTATCTGACTAGAAATTAACCTTCCTTTATTAAATCCGCGTACCCTTCTTGGAGATAATTCTTAGATCTGTGATGAATTAAGAAAGTATTCCTGACATAATTGTTTCCGATTGAAAAAAGATAATTTTTATTTGTAGATAGTAAGTAACCGTAAGGTATTGAACTAACCCTCATTTAAATATATTGTAAATAGTCAGATATGTATATTTTTTATTCTCTGGTTGTAGTCTTATCCTTGTGTAATCAAGATCAAGATATAATTGCATAACACTTAATTTTATCTAATTCAAACTGTTGTTGGAAGATATTGGGATCAGAGGATGCTGTGACTAGGTGAATTTTGTAGAGATGACGATGGTATTTAAGCCCCGAGGGTCTTGGATAATGTTGTTTTTTTAAGGTCTACGAGATATGGAATGATTCATGAAGAGTAAGAAGCCCTTGAGACTGATGGAGAACGTTAAGGAGTGGCTTGCATCCATTTGGTTTTGAGTGTGAGTTTGGTGATTAAGAGGCATGGGATGAGATTTCGTTGAACATTGGAATGAGAATAAGATGGATGTATGGTTTAATATGTTTGGATTCAAAAAAGGATTAATCTATGTTGCATGGACACGGGTAGTGGTGCGGATACACCAAATTTGTAAAATGTAGGATACGGGGGCATGTCTATATACATATTAAAACTTATAATGCATATGAGATCAATATTGTTTTTCATTCACATGTCATGAGAACTAAAAATCTCATAACATTTTATGTTCTTTTATTGAGTAGATTATAAATTGAAAAAGCTTGGTTTTGAACTAGATATGCAAACAATCCTTTATAATCATGCTTATGAAGTTGGTATGCGCTAAAACTGAATCCATGTCAAGTACAACGAGTTGCAGAAAGTGGAGACGGAGTGTATGATATATGGCCATGAAGTGTATCATGAGTTTTTTACACTAAAACATGTGGTATACAATTGAGTAAATGTACATATATATACCTATATTTATCTCCATCTGTTGTGTACTGCTTGTTGTGTATAGCTTCTCCTCCCTGCCTCAAGCCGCCCTAAAATCCCTATGTCAATTGTCATGGCTCATATGAACATTTCTTGCTTCACCAGGTGCAAAGGTGAGAGTACAATGCAGAACCAGAGCCACAAGTGAGAAGACCTGCAGCTTCGACGGCGTGACCGACGCGACCGGAACCTACAAGATCCTCGTTGCGGACGAGCATGAGCATGACATCTGCGAGTCCGTCCTCATCAGCAGCCCAGACGGCTCTTGCCAAAAGATAGTCCAGGGAAGGGAGAGGGCTCAGGTGTTCCTCACCCACAACAATGGCATGGCCTCCGACACTAGGTTCGCTAATGCTTTGGGTTTCGAGAGGAAAACTCCCTTTGCTTTCTGTGCTCAGCTCATGAAGCAGTATGAGGAGGTTGATGTCTAAATGAAATAGATTTGTTTCTCTTGAGAGATTTCTACCTTTGATATAATGCTAGTTCTTGTTGAATGAACTAATTTAAATTGTATTTGTTTGTTAAACTTGGTACTATTTTGGTCACTCGTTTGTGGCTGTAAAACAAATTATTATTATTGTCAGTTAAATTATTGGGTTGGAATGTGTTGTTACTTTGGTATTTCTGATGAAATTTTGATTATATCGTGTATTGTGTATTAAGCTTCAGTTGCCCGTTAATGTTGTTGATGTTTGATGCAGTTTGATTAATGATTAGATTAACATTGCTTGAACTGTCAAAATGAGAAGCCAAATGATATTAGTCTTAAATTCCATTGTATTTATTCTTTTTTGAGAATGATTGTTGAGAGTGAAATTGCCCAAATTGTGAAGTTAGTTGGCGGTGATTCAGGAATTTATGTATAAAAACATAATTAAACTTGCACCCTTAATTCTTTGAGCAATATTTACACGAAAGAGCAGATTACTTTACTTGGAATATATTGCAACCTTTTGAGTAACCCAAAAAAAGGCTGAATATTTTTATTTCTAAAACCCCCCTCTCTCTCTCTTATCTCTCTCGCTCGTCAAAGCATCAACCTTTCGCCGGACAATGTAAGATTTCTTTCCTCCATCGTCACTTCTCCATTGAAAATCTATATTCCTTTTTGTTATTTCTGTGCTTTTACGAATTGGGTTTTCTAAAGAATCAATGTGGGCATGTTCCATTTAGGAATTTTTACTTGCTTCGAGAATCGGAGCCCAACCGAGTGCTTCTTGTTTATGATCTGGGTCTGTGTACTTGCGCTTACTCTTAACTTCGGTTTTGTTTCTTTTAGATTGCTAATGCACTTAATAGATGACCGCGTTTTGTGAAATATGATATGGGTTCTCGTTTAAATGGTTAAAAAGTTGATTTTACGTCCAATTTGAATTGGGTTTTCTCGATTTTGATGTCAAATGGGCAAATGATCTCTAGGTAGGACATGATCCTTGATCTTGAAAGGTTTTGGTCTTCCGATTCTTGGTGAGCTGTTGCTATCGTATTTAAGCTTTGACCTTCCTTTTCTTTTTTTAAGTTTTTTGTTGTTTAAAGACTCATTCAACGTGTTTATGTGATTACCGTTGCACTATAAATTGCATCTGTAAAAATATGGGTTTTGGTTGAAATTCTCTAACAGTTTCATTTGTCATTTCTGTGATGCTACAAAGAATCTCTTTGATATATTCATTAATGTGGAAATTGAGTACTTGCTTATTTGCAGATTTAGTACCAGTTTGAAAGGAATATCATCACGGTTACCAGCTTACCAAGAAATAGATGAGAAATTTGGGATTGTAATGGGCCTGGGTGTCTAGAGAATTTGAATCTGTTCATGTGGATATTGTGTTAATTAATGAGTACTGTAGCTTGTCAAAAGATTAATGTAGAACCAGACATTTTCTGATTAGTATTAGAAGTTTCATCTGTGAATTATGCTTTCTTATCTTGGCCCTTCTCTTTTTTTACCTTGGCATCAAGATTGCATTCTATGGAGCGGAGATACAGGTTTCATCGATTTTTTTGGAGCTGTACAGAGTCATAATTTTCTTTTTTAGTGGGTAATATAGCTTTATGATTCTTCTTCAAATGAGCACATGTTGATGCACAGAGTCAATTCTTTTAGGCCTCTTCTTTTAGGAAGAAAGAGTTGGGGAAAAAACATTGTATGTTGAACCTTGGTTTGATTTGATCTGATACACAAAATTGATACACTCAGGAAATGGACAATCATTTAATTATTCCTCTTTCTTAAGCACTTCTATAAAACAATATCGAAGGAATCACTCTGCATAATGTCTTTGTTTACGTCGTTAATGCAAATATCAATTCTTTTTTTCCAATTTATTTGAATTATATATTTGGAAGTGGGCTCTCCTATAAATTATTTCCTGCGTTCTCTTAGTTCATCTACTGTTTCTGATACACTGCAGACTATTCCTGCAAATTTGTCATGGTACTTCTTTCAAATGATGTTTCTGCCTCTCTTTCTATATATCTGAACTGAGACGCTTGTTTTCTTCACAGAATGGCTACAAACACATTTCATCACATCCAGGCAAATGGATGGCATGCTAACTCAAATCATCATACCAAACTGAGAAAAATTTCAGTGAACATGTCTTCTGAGGCTATTGGTGTTCATAGACAAGTGTATGGTACCTTGAAATTTAGTCCTATTGGAGCTTTAACCACACAATCTTTGGCAGATACACTTCAGTTACCATCAAAGAACTACTCCAGCGAGTCCTTGATAACATCAAGTATGTCTTTTTTTCTCCATATCCCTTCAAGAAGTACATACATTTGGATATTGCACTTTGTTCCTTTTTAAAAGTTAACTTTACGGTCCTTGATTTCAGATGAAACTGTGCTTACCTTGTTGCGGCATGGTGAGTCAATGTGGAATGAGAAAAATCTCTTTACAGGATGTGTCGATGTACCTTTGACACAAAAGGGAATAGAGGAGGCAATCGAAGCAGGAAAAAGAATAAGTAACATTCCCGTTGACGTTATCTACACCTCTTCACTGTTGCGGGCTCAGATGACTGCTGCAATCGCAATGACCCAACATCGTTGCAAGAAGGTTCCCTTTTTTTTTATACATGTGTGTGTGTGTATATAAATTTCATATATCCCCATGAATTTTCAAGATTATAATTATCCCCTGAGCTATTGGAAAATCTAATAAACAACATTAATGTGTAGAATAAATTTCACGAAACCCCAACTATTGGAAAATCTCATAAACAACATTAAGGTGTAGAGTAAAGAGTCTAAAAATGTGACCTAGTTGTTTTGTCCTGATTTCCCACATGAATGTTTTCCCTTCAAAATTTTCATCACAATTTTTTATTTTTTATTATTTCTCTACCCCTTAAAATCATCTATGACATTTTCCAACATTATAAGGCTGTTTAATATAAAATTGAAAGTTCATGAGGTTTTGTACGAAACTCCCCAAAGTTTAGGGTTTTCTGAAATTTACCCTATATTTTTTACTATATTCTTGGTGAAGTTTCATATGCATAGTTTTACTCGATTTGCAGGTTCCAGCTGTTTTGCACAATGAGAGTGAGCAGGCTAGAACATGGAGTGAGATTCATAGTGAAGAAGCAAGAGAGCAATCTATTTCAGTGATAACATCTTGGCAACTTAATGAAAGGATGTATGTTTATCTGTTTTCAGGTATATCTGCCTACTTTGTCCTTGTATAATACTTAGATTTTTGGCTTCTGCTTAGGTATGGGGATTTACAAGGATTCAACAAGCAAGAAACAGCTGAAAAGCTAGGGAAGGAGCTAGTTCATGCATGGCGTCGCACTTATCATAGTCCTCCACCAAATGGCGAAAGTCTGGAAATGTGTTCTCAAAGAGCTGTTGCTTATTTTAGAGATGAAGTAAGAATTTTTGAAGTTAATGATTATCTTTTGCTCTTGATACAAGATGTTCTATTTATATTTATCGATGTTGCTAATCCTTAGCACCTGGTGAAGGGAGCTCAACTTGTAGTTTTAGTGGTAGGCAATTTCATATGATTCTTTTTTATCCATTCCTGCAAGTTCAATTATTGAAGATAAGGACTTGAGTTCTGAAGGTAATGCACATGAGTTATAATTCAGGGGAAACAATTTCTTGTGAAACAATTGCTTTGCCATGATAAGGACTCGAGTTCTGAAGGTAATGCACATGAGTTATAATTCAGAGGAAACAATTTCTTGTGAAACAATTGGTTTGCCATAATAATCTTTTGTGAAACAATTGGATTCATCAGAAAAGTTAATGGGAATTAAAAACTGGTCGATTTTTTGAGGGGAATACTTCCCTGAAAATGTATGTCTAAATAATTTTTGGTGGAAATTCCACAAGTCCTAAAATGTATCAAAAAACTATTTCAGACTCTTCTAATTTTCTTTCTTTTTAGTATATGAGGTTGAGGAGGAATTTTGTATGATATGTCTAAAATTCTTTTGGTAATTTTCCTTAACAAACTAAAGTTTTTTGAAGAATCGTGTGTTCACAGAGAAATATAGCATCTAACTCTAAAGAGATTACACAACAGATTGAACCTCAACTTCTGAGTGGGAAAAATCTGCTGGTCACCGCTCATGCCAATTCCCTGAGGTCAATCATCATGTATCTTGATAGGCTAACTGCTGAAGAGGTGAATGTTGTTACATACAAAAAAAATGTTCAGTTGCTTAATTCACAGCTTAATGTTCACATCTTTGAAACTATCAGCAGAGAAAAAAGTTAAATACATAAAAGACTATCTCTCAACAGGTGATCAACCTGGAGATGTTAACTGGCATTCCAATGCTGTACGTATTCGAAGGTGGAAAGTTCATCAGGAGAGGGAGTCCAGTAGCACCAACTGAAGCTGGTGTTTATGCTTATACCACAGTATGAAATTTAATCCCTACATTGCTTGATACTAAATGTTGTCATTTATGTTAAGAGGTACATATTGTCTATAAATGCAGAGTCTGGCTTTCTATCGACAGAAGCTGGATCAGATGCCAGCCTGATAACCTACCCATCGGAAGGTAGCTTCAGTTTCAGACTCTTTATTGTCATAACCTCCATCATTTTCACACGGGAGCCTTGTACATGCGAGATATGTTGTAAAAAGCTTGTTCTTTGTATAGAATGGATCGAGGTGACTGAGATTAGTTGCATTTTTTTTACTTCCCCTTATTCTTTTTAGTGAAAGGCAGTATCATTACCGAAGGGAAGCTAAGAGATTTGATTCATGTGTGACATTATGATTTAGATGTGATTTAGAATTTATATGAAAAGCATCGGGTGGATCCAAAACCTGTAAAATTACGGCATAGTATGCGCTTTAACCTGAATATACATGTATAATTTTTTTGCTTCTTCATGTATTCTGTTGTTTGTTTTGTTAAATATGCAGATAATGAAAAACCCTTTCCAAGAAACGCAATGTACTGTTAGAGGTTAATTTTTCTGGCAAAGGGGGAAAATGTGGTAGCATTTTCACGTAATGACTTCAGTAGAGACAAACCCCCTTCCTTTGACTTGCTCTTCTCTATAGCTCTAGAGATGATGTTTCTCCCCTTATGAAAGGAGAGGTCTATATTACCCAGTGGGCATCACTAACCTTTCTCCATAGATTCCATCAATCTGCAAAAAATACCACCAATGCACTTCCCCTCTTCACGGCTCAAATCGTTCCACGAATCTCTTGGTGCCAAACTCCCCTCTTCACTATGTCCAAAGTGTGGTGGAAAAAAGGACTATTGACGGTTCAAATCAATGAAGAGGATAGAGGATCAATTTGGTTATCGAACTGGATGAAATTGCAGTGTATGATTTGATGAAGCTACTGTGACGAGATTGCGAATGGTATATACACCAAAAAAGGAACAAATCATATCAGAACAAACCCATATGAGTGGGATGTTTTCAGCTACAAAGATGTGATCAATCAAGCATCGTGATATGATTTGTGCTCTTGCTTGGGAAACCTTGATAGATTGGAAGAAGATTGGCAAGTTGATCGCACACGAGGAATTTTATGGCTGATGCTAAGAATTTTTATGGCTGATGTTAGTGAGGGTAGCATCAACCATAAAATCTTGTAGTTCTTTGCTAGACTTTTTCACTTAACATTTTTCCCATTTTGGTTGAAGTAGAAATAGGCCGCCTAATGTTTTCATCCAACATCTCTATCAAAAAAAAATACGCGATACGGTTTATTCAGGATCTGTAGCAGGACTCGTACTTTTAATGCAACTTAGACACCTAATGCGCATGACGTAAAACTTTCCTGAAGAAGTTTCAATGTGCTATCTTTAATAATTACCCTCTCTTATTTTATTCCTGTTCATACAAGATAGAACATAGCTGACCATCTAGAAACAAAATAATGCAGGCCTCCATTTTACATAGTTGTATAAGAGTTGTATAAAGTTTTTTCTTCTTTTCCATTTATAACCTCAATCATTTATAATATATCCAATGAATGGTTATTTTGATAGGGTTTCTGCTGAAGGGTTATTTTCGAGAAAAAATGGTCCAATTTTTGACTTTACTGTTCTCTTCTTTGGTCTTTTGAGATCAACTCACTCCTCTCGGTAGAAGCACGAAATCGAATCAACGGAAGAGAATGTTAGAGAAGATAATTACCAGAGATTTAACATCGATGGAAAAATTCACCAAATTGATTAAAATTCCAAAAGGTTGAGGAGATCGTTCTTGAAGAAAAGAGCAAAGTTAGAGGCGTGACACGTGGGTTTTGAGATAAAGAATGAATATATTTTAATTTTTAAAGGAAAAGATTTTATAAAAATTACCCTATTTTTTTCTCAAAATTTTGAGGGATGGAGGGGCGTAGCCCCACATGGACTGTATATACATCCGCCCCTCATGTAATGTGTGCGTTGGTTTGTTTGTAATTGGTTATAATCCTTGAACTCCCCAGCCTAACCCTTATCACAAATGGTGTATGTCGCATCTAACATCAAAATCATTAAATGTTGTCACCTTCTTGCATATTATAAACTTTACTTTCAACATATATCGTTAACTGTTGAGATGGAAATTAGTTTACAGATGTGAAGTTATTTGTCTATCAATTTTCTAAACGGAGCGGTCGATTCTTCACTTCCCCCGCATCACACGGGGTTTTCTGGTAGTTCCTTGTGATATCCAAACGCACAAAGCTAAGAATTAATTGGTGCGGGCAAGATTTCGGTCTCAGTCTTGAATCGGTTACTTTGACTGAACAAGGTTTTATTTTTTTAATTTAAAAAACACTGTTCAATTAGTTCCCGTGATTGGAGTCCCATCACTTTAATACGGAAAAGAGCCGTTGCTATGCGACCAAGATTCGTTACATGTCCTTCTGCGGTGCTCAAATAAATGTGCTCCTCGGCCGAAAGATTAGTACATTGAAAGCCATAAAGCAAGCAATAAGGCAACAGAGCACTGAAGCGCAGAGAGAGAGAGAGAGAGAGAAAATAGCTTTGATTTAATCTTCTTTTATTAATTAATAAATATGTGCTCGAAACTCTCACTTTCTCACTTGCCCATTTGTCTCATCTTCCACCTTTCTCTTGTTTCTATCTGCTACTGGATGGATTCCCAAGTGTCCACTGACTTCAGCTGTAGCTGACTGCTGATGTGGGTTCATGCAATTCTTCAGTGGGAATTTTGGATCTTTTGAAGGCTTATTTGATGTGGGTTCTTGTTATTCTACATTTGATTTCAAGAAGACCCCAGAGGGAACTTTTCCCTTCTGCTGGAGATTTGTAAAGAGATCGATCTGCTCATCTTTTCTCAGAACTTAGGGGGCCTCCAAGTGAAGAGAAAAAAAATCTCTCATCTTTGCCTAGTAAAGCTATTTGCTTTATTAGATAGAAGAAGGATAATTAGAAGAAGAAGAAGGTTGTCCTCTTGAACTCGGTTCTGGATTGAAGCTAAAAAGTCCTACTGAAATCAAGGTTGGTGTGTTGCCCATTTCAGAATTGTTGAACTCACCGAGGTCGGCTCTGAATTTGAGACAGAAAAAGGTACTTCGATTCTTTGCTTATTTAGAGAGATCAGTTCTCATTGTTGATCATTGGTAAATTTCAACTAAAGCTACCATCTTCTCAAGGGAAATGCTACTACAAGTAAAAGCAACTCTAGTGGCCTGTTAAAGAACGCAACTAGGTGTCCCATTTTATTTTTAGAAGAAAAAAAATCTAACGCTTATGAAGTTGGTTTCTAATGGGTGTTCCAAGCTCCAAACCTTCAAGCAATGAGGCCCTGGTTCTCTGCAGAGAACGCACCCGCTCCATAAAACAAGCAATTGATTCAAGATATGCTCTCTCAGCTGCTCATCTCTCTTATTTACAGTCCCTCAAAAGTGTAGGCACCGCTTTAAGGAGATTCTCAGAGGCTGAGATTTCAATAGACCCATCAATTTCAACCCTGGAGCCTGATAGAACTCCATCTAGATCCTCTTATGCTTCATCTTCTCCTGTTCAAATGAAAAGCCCATTACCTCGGTTATCCAATGTGAGTTACATGAAGGCATCAAGTAATGCTGCAGTGACAGTCGCCATAAATCCGGCGACAGCGGATTTCGTCAGAGAGGAGGAAATTGGTTCCTCCTGGGACTTCTTTGATCCAAATGGCGAGAATTTTTCTGCGCAAAACTCTAGCAATCAAGCAGAATTAGTTCCTTTCCTGGAAAAGAGTTCGAACAAATCTTATAAAAGCGACAAATCACTTGAGGATTTTATTAGAATAGCGTCAGGCGAGTTGCAGCGGTCAAATATATTGAAGGGTGAGGTGGAGAGTGAAGAGGTCTTTGCAGAGAGGGAGGATGCATCAGAATTCATCACTCATAGGGCTAAAGACTTCTTGTCGAGTATGAAGGATATTGAGCATCGGTTCCTAAGAGCAGCAGAATCCGGCAATGAGGTATCGAGATTGCTGGAGACCAGCAAGATAAGGCTCAGGGTTGAAACTGAGATAACAGGTGATTTAAAGTACAGAAGAAATGATTTCATGGTGTATGTTTAACTGCAGATAGAACCCATGCAATATCGCTAAATTGAACTTACAAAACCTTTTAGTTCTATTGTTGCAGATAGACGCCCTGAATGAGAATTTTTTACTGCTTTCAGGGGGTCTATCTGCAACAATAGAACTACATGGGTAGAAAGTTCAATTTGGTAAAAATACAGGAGTTCTGTCTTTAATCAACCCTCTCTTATTTTTCATGTCCTAATCTTTAAAAATCTTTCACAGGTAAATCACCTCCATGGCAATTTCTGTCAACCTTCCATGAAGTTTGCTGCAAGGCTGAGACCGTCTTTAAGCATGGTACTTGTTTAATTTTCAATTTCAGTTCAAAGCAACTTCTTTGTTTTTGGTTTGTGAGATTGGCACGTCTTATGTATATATGTACCTATATTGTAGAACCTGGACAAAATTTGGCAAAGGTAATTACTTGGAACCGCTCAGTCTCATCTATGTCCTCATCATCCAAAACTCCTATTGGAACAACATCAAAAGACATGGACAACGAGAGTGATTGCAGTTTTTTTGAAGAATTTTGCATGATTTCAGGAAGCCATTCATCGACATTGGACAGGCTGTATGCATGGGAAAGAAAGCTTTACGATGAAGTGAAGGTATTCTATTCTATGCCATGTATGAATTTATGCCTTTGATTTTGTATTTTCCTTTCAATGTTTACTTGTTGCTCTAGTGTTTAAGCTATAGGAAATGCATAGCTTATGCCTTTGCTATGTTTTGAAAAACATATAAATTATGGTAAGTTGTATCTTTGGAGTATTTGGTTAGTGTTTCTCAAGTATCCATATATAAAAGGCAACGTATTCTGTTTTTTATTTCCACAGGCTACTGAGTCTTTAAGGAAGGCATATGATCAGAAATGTAACCAATTAAGACACCAATTTGCGAGAGGCTTGAATCCTCAAGTGATTGACAAAACTCGAGCTGTTGTAAAAGATCTTCATTCACAAATAACTGTGGCCATTCAAACAGTTGATTCAATATCAAAAAAAATTGAGAAGATGAGGGATGAAGAATTACAACCTCAATTAATGGAGCTTCTTCAAGGGTATGTTCTCATGAACTACTAAAGCTATCATTTTCACTATTGTCTAACATATATCAAAAGAAAGATTGGAGACTGCTGAATCTGAACTTTGCACTAATGGAAACTAATCTAATATTTAGGTGACATCGTAGAATTTTTAACTTTGCGCTAATGGAAGTGGTAACATACAGGCATGCAGGGACTACATAAAAGCACTTACTATGTTTGTTGAATGCTAACATACATGTGTATGCGTATTCATGCTTATTCACCAAATTGAAGTATTGGGCAATCCATTGACCTCATTATTTTGACACAATAGTAGCTCTCTTTATCATTGCATTCAAATTTTCTGTCAACTGGTGAAAAGGGAAATACCCATTGCACTATCCTCTACTCTTTTAAGGATTGCACTCAGTTTCATCATCAACAATTACCAATTTGAATAAGCTTGCAAGTACAGCAGGATGTTGGTGAAAATGATTGATAGCTCTGACTATAAATAAGTGGCACATGACTTGAATAGTTATTTCGCTAATTTATTATATTATAGCCTCTATACACTATTCCTCATATTGTCTTATGATTCATCTTTAACTTTTACACTTAATTGCACATAGATCTCCTATATGCTCATTTTGGCAGATGCCACCCCTGGGTTAAATTTTTCTTATTTGTGTATCCTGAATGAAACTTCGGTAGATATTGCCCCAGGGTAATGAGTCTATCTCGGGGCAAAAGAGTCAAAAAGTTTTCAACCAGGGGATCTTTCTGCTCAAGTGAAACTGCAGGGGTAGTAAGTTCTAATCATCGATATTGGAGGAGGTCTATGTGTAATTAACCATAATTTTTATGTGCATTAATTTGCCTCCTGAGATGTTGTGATGTGTTGTCTTCTTTAGGCTGATCAGGATGTGGAAAGCTATGGTCGAATGCCATCACACACAATTCATCATAATCTCCTTAGCCTATCATGTTATGAACTCAAAGTCAGAACCTCACAATGAAACCCTCAATCAAGCTTTCTCACACCTCCACATCGAGATTAAATGTTTCGCCTCCAGTTTTATGAACTTGGTCGAGGCCCATAAGTCCTACGTCGAAGCACTCAACTCTTGGATTCACAAGTGCATCTCGCAGCCTCAAGAACAATCCAAGGGCAGGAGAAAAGCAGCCTTTCGCTCTCGCCAGTCCCTTTCTCTTCCTCCTATATTCGTCCTCTGCCAACATTGGTTGAATGGAATCAAGTCTCTTCCTTCTAAAGGGCTCCATGATTCAATCAGAGATACTGTATCAATCCTGTATGACTTGGGTAATGAACACATAGAAGAAAAGAGGGATAAAGATGAAGATAATGAAGCAGAAAGATTCTGTGAGAAATGGAGCTTAGATGGTCTGCAGACAGGTTTGAGAAGGGTTTTTGATCAATTGGTGAAGTTTTCGGAGGCATCAGTTAAAGTTTTTGAGGAGGTGAAGCAGGCAAACGAGACGGCTTGCATTGAGTACTGTGCTAATGGAACCTCACATCAAATATTGTAGTTATGGATAAGAAAGTTTATGGTATGATGTACATGTATTGGTTTTATGTAAGTTATTGCAATACTGGATGTTTACGTAGAGATATAAATGAAAATAGATATAGTAGGTGATCGGCATAAATAATCGGATCAGGAGTTGCCAGATTGAACAGTTTAAGGAACAAGGCAGCCTGAATTGGTAAAGCCTGTGATATGTTGTAACTACATGCATCAAGATTGAGATTCCCTAAAGTAAATTGAATGCTGCTGTGTATATATTAAAAGATTGTGACGTACTGTAAGTCTGTAATATGCTTCATAGTTAATTGAATGCTACTCTGTATATATTAAAAGATTGTGACGTACTGTAAGTCTGTAATCTGCTTCATGCAAACTGAATGCGACCTGTATGTAATTTTGACTGTCATAGTGATGGTTAGAGAACTTGCAATAATCTCTCTTGGTTCTCTTTGTTCCTTGCACCTTATGAATGTTGTTCAGCCTTCAAACTAAAGTTGTAATTTATAAAAGACAATTAATAGATAAAATTGTATATTTTCTTGCAGCTATGCATGTAGAAACTGAGTTATTACTTCTGCAAAAGGGTTAATTGCGGATAGATCCCTGCACTATTGTCTGATTGCAGAGAGACCCCCTATAGTTTTCTTGTTGCGAATAGACCTGCGTGAAATTTTTTGACTCGCCAATAGAACAAAGGCGGCCAATCCGCGATTTAAAAAAAAAATCAGTTAAAGGGGTCTACCCGCACCAATAGAACTAAGGAGTTGTATCCGAACCTAGAGAACTGAGGAGTTCTATCCTCAATTGGCGACAGTACAGAGAGTCAATTCTACCCGCAATTAACCCTTTGCAAAAATGATTTGCAAGTTGCAATCAGTTATTAGCCTCAAGCTGGCCTTCGACCTGTAAAATTTCTTCAATCGCGAAACACACATATAGGCCTAGTCATTAGCTTGCAGCAAAATATAAACAATAAGAAAATCAGAGTACGTAACTTAAAATTTAAAGTAGCTCTCAGTGGAAAATCCTAAACTCTTCAATCAACAAGCCATACAATGTAATTAGAAAACAATCCCTTGAGCAGCAAAGATGTTAACATTGGGACAGCAAGCAAAACCACCTGCCTCTACCCCCCAAGACAAGTTCCAGGGATCATTTGTCCGAAAAACAAGTAAACATGCCATCATCCGTGACTTAGATCGATCCTCTCACGGTTTTCAAATCATCTTGAACTGCAATTGGTAACCAAGACTCTTCAAAAAACCAGCATCTCCGTTCTTCAGAAACTTCGGCTCCTTCTCGAGCTCCTTACCCGATTGCCTAATCAATCTCGGTCAAGATCTCAGAGAAGTTGACGGCAATGTGAGAGGTGTGGCAACGTAGGAAGAAACTTCCTTGACCGATTTCATATCGTACCTTGTCAAGAACCCAGGTCATCACTTGAATGACCTTTTGTTCATCTCAGTAGCTTCAACCTTTCAATCTCAATATTGTCAACGAACCAAACTTGTAAATGAGATGACCAGTTGCGGTTGACTTCCCACAGTCGTCGTGGCCGATGACCACAATGTTAGTGTGGGTCTTCTCTTTCCCCATGGCTGATGGGCCGGAAAACTAACTGTCAGGAAACGATACAGAACATCAATAATTAGAGTAACGGGAAAATTTTCAGGCAATACAAGTACCATAGACTGCTGCATAAAGAGAGAATTTTAAAACAAAGGTATAAATAAATAAATCCACAAGCTTCAGAAAAAAAACCTATTCTAGCCCATATTTACTATTTAATCAGTCTTATCAATGGTAATAGCTCGTGTTGAGACGATATTTGCAGAGCTCATAACACAGAGGACAACCACAGAGAAAACTTATTAGCAAATTAATAAAATTTATATTGTTAACTTTCTAGAAACTAATGGTCTCTGAAAACTACCATAAGCATATGAAAATGGTAGCTGACAGGCATCTAGAATCAAATTGATAGGTGCTATTTCAGCTTCGCAATTTCTAAACAGATTTAGGCTTTTCAATTGACTCTTCATGGAAAAACATTCCTCCTCCTTGAACGACTCAATTAGTGCAGCCATCAAAGTTGGATATTAGTAGAATGAACTGATCACTAACTGGAAGGGGGATAAAATCCATAAAAATCAAAGAAGAATTTTTTTTGAAATAGGAGTAGAAATCAGCCAACCTTTAGACAGATATCATGGTTGTATTATTTTCAGTGAGATCAATTACATTATTTCTGCATCATATGCAAATTAAATACATTGACAACATAACCCAATGTAGAAAAATTACATAGAATCAGGAGATTTTACTATAAAGGTCAAGCAGCAGCAGTGAACACTCGAATAATCTCTAGTGTTAACGAGAGAAGACGAACGTCAAGTGATTAAATGGCGAATGGGCTGAAAAATCATCTGCTTCCACCTCAATACCTCATGACCCAGAAAGTGAAGCAGAAGCTGCAGCTCGATCAGCATCAATCATTGACTTGATATAATATTCGCCTGCTTTGTACGAGGATCGAACCATAGGACCGGATGCAACATACCTAAATCCCTGTACCAGAAACGAGCCCATTAAATTAAGAATGAGTAGGTCATTTTCGAACTATGTTATACTGTCTACATGAGTTAGTAATCTTACAAGAACAATCATTAAGGGCAAGCAAAACACATTTTCAGTTCTGCCCAGGGGCATTAAGGGAATGGATAACATCTTCTTAGCAGTTATATTATTTTCTGTTGTTTTCTAGTTCTATGCTTCTCTGATGAAGGGAGTACTTTACATTTTAGCTCTTCATGCAAGGCATGCATCTTTGCTGGCGATGTTTTCAGTAAAAGTTTTCATCCTTCACGTTCACAACGCAAAAACGTCCGCTAACTAGTTTTCCTCAAATATGATTACTCTATGGAATATGTAGACAGTTCTGACAGAATATGTGTAGCAATAAATATAAAACAGTTTCCAGTTTCCTTTAATATGGTTAGTTGGTTACCCACAGTCCAGAAACCGTCAAGATCAAATCATTCTTTTAGAGGAATTCTATGTAGCAACAAGTACTAGGTTTTCGTATATGTCGAACAGTGTGTATAAACTGACTAAATTAATGCAATTAACACAGGTCAAATGCATGTGGGAATGATCCTTCCATCGGCAATGATCCTCACCAATTTTGACATCTCTAGTCGTCAAAGTCACACCATCAGAGAGGGCGCAATAAATAAATGTCTACGAATGTCAAATCTCAATCCCAACCCATAGGTACCATGAAACTTTCTGAAAAAGCTATTCTGAAAGGAACAGCCAAAGGTTTCACATTACTCCCCAGCTCCAGCTACAAGCTGCATTCGTGAAGGAAAGGAAGCAAACCTAGCACACGACTCCTCTACCAACCATTATTCTGAACCACTGGAAGTCTCTCTGCTGGAAGATACCAATTGGGAAAAAACATTATTTTTCTCTAAGTATAAACAGTCATCAGATCTTATTGTCCTGATATGGAACACACTGAAGTATTTCTCTATTTCAACCTCTTAAAAGCCACCAGGCTTCTATGATTCATGTTGGAACTTGAAAGGATAGAATTCAGAAGTCACATGGGTCAGATAGTTATCTCATCGGGTGGGATTCAACTCATCCAAAACCTCCCTAGTTGAAGTTGGATTCAGAATTTAAACTCTTTTTGGCTCATTCATGAAACTGTATTTTTGGTTTGGATAAATCAGACATGGAAATGAAGCATTCAAGTACTACTTTAAAGAAATTGAGCAGGACTTTAGTGATATCTCGAGCTGTCATGCATTCGGAGATTCTGCAACTAAATAAATAAATAAAATATATAATACAGCCTATAGCATTATACGGTTGACACTATGAATTTTAGGACTATATCAGCTGCTTGCGTCTCAACTCAAAATAAAAGTTGAAATTCTATTATTAACCCAGCTTAAATGATTAAAAAAGTTAGTATAGTCCAATCAATAATGTTTTTTATTCTCCTAAAACAGAATAGTTTGTTATATTTATTAAATAATATTGTGAGAGAGATGCAAATAAATGCACATTGTTTTCTGCTTAAATGCCTTAGAAAGCAAATATACAAAGTTAAATATGAAGACATGAGAAATGAATTATTGGATTAATGTGCCTGATTGTAAATTAAGATGTTACCATTTCCTCGCCAAGCAACCGATAGTTCTCGAAAGCTTCTGGTGTAACATACTCTGAAACAGGCATATGCCGCTTGGATGGCCTCATATACTGACCAAATGTCATGACATCAACTCCTGCTGCCCTCACTTTTTCCATAGTGCTGACCACCTGATCAGGTGTTTCCCCACAACCTAACATAATAGAAGTCTTCGTAAGAGTTCCAACCGGGGCATATTCTTTTGCCATCTTAAGAACATCAAGTGATTGTTTGAAATTGGCGCGGCGATCTCGCACAACACCCTGAAGCTCTTCAACTGTCTCGATATTGTGAGCAAAAACTTGCAGTCCAGATGTTGCAACCCTCTCTACACATTTTGAGTCTCCTCGGAAATCAGGAACTGCAGCACAAAAACATTAATAAGCATCAACCGGAACCTTTCAAAGAATACAAATTAGGCAACCAAATATCTCCTGAGACCGAAGCAATTAGCGTCATAGTTCAAATATGAACCTCTGGATACTTATAAAGACAACTTTACTTTTAGTTTTTCAAATTCATAATTAAAAGTCTTGCTCAGTACAGAAATATCTTGTAAAATAAAAACGTCAGTCTCCTTTTCAAAGAACACCAAATAAACAAGAATATTGTTCAGAATGTCAATGAATCCTTCAAACAATAAATTAAAAAGCAAGAATGCGTTGAATATCAGTAGTACCTGAAGTATAAATATGAGTTTCACTTTTTAGCAGTATTTTCATGAATGAATTTGCTACTCAATGAATGATCATTTAATAGATTCACAGAAAAATAAAACAATTAATACGAACTGATGCATTATACACCCGTAATTCCTCTTTCTTCAAGAATTAAAAAAAATGGATGCTCGGAAATTACATAGATAAATGCAAGTATTACATGGACAAGGAATATGGTTGTCTTGGCAATTACACAGATAAATGCCAGTATTACTTGGACAAGGAATATGGTTGTCAAGTGTCTGTGTACCCTCAGGTGTTCAACAAGGTAACTTTTAAACATGAGAACATGGGGACAGCCTTTGAGAGTGCTTGGGAGGGCTTTTTTTTTAAAGCTTATAAGGTATCTGTGGCTTTGGCTTTTATGATAAGAACTTTATAAAACTTATATGGGCAGAAAAGTCTTTTAATTGGTCAAACCTAGCTTATTTGGGTGAGCTTATAAGCTAGTTTCTAAAAAGTTGGGGAACCCTAGCTTTTTCAAATGTGCCTTAAAGGCTGGCTTATTAACATGTCACCAAACATGTAGATATGGACAGGCTAGATTAAAAGATACTTTGACCCAAAAAAGGCTCCCTCGATTGCTTGAACACCCTCTATGTATACACATGTGCGCCTATAATATTGATTCAGCACTACTTGTTAACAAGTCATTGCATAGTTAAAAAAGAAGTATGGCACATCTTTGGATGTCTATGGAAGTAAAATAAAACTTGTTTAGTTTTTTACTTACTATCTTCCCTTGTAGATCCATTCTATATTTTCTTTCTAAGCATTTCTACCTTTCAAATACGGTGATATCTTTTTCGATTACATGAACAGTATCCGAGCAGCAGGAAACATGTCCAAGTTTATCATGTCTTGGTGCCTGGTAACTGACAGATACGAACTCATGAAACAGAAGAGAATGGCCATAGATGCATCTGAAAAGATGATACTATATGCAATAATCGATCCCCTTACCAAGTGCCTCTATCAGCATCTCTGGCTTCAGACGCTTCAGGCTTTGTACAGTCTCAGCAAAATGGCCACTTCCTTGATCAGGCAAGTCATCACGGTCCACACTAGTGATTACCACATAATCTACACCCCATGAAGCAATGGCTTCAGCGGCTTTAATGGGTTCATCTGGATCTGGTGGAGGAGGAGTCCTTGATGTTTTAACATGACAAAACCTGAATGAAAAAACATCTAAATCCAGTAAACAAGGAGAAGTAATTCCAAAACCTCTTTAACAGTAAGATACCAACAGATCTTTAACTAAGAACAATTTTGTCTCAGAAACAAGCACAGCATGCAAAGATTTAGCAAGGTAAAAAATTCACAGTTCGATAACATATAAAATGCAAATGATTTCAGATTTCAATCCCGCTATTCACATATAATTTAAATGGAGTCAAAGAAGGTCTAAATATCTCTGGACTACTGCAATAACACCAGAACGAGGTGACCGGAGGAAGCTTGTGCCAAGTGAGCCCAACACAGTGAAACAGAGGGTGATGCACACAGGCCACTTTCTATCAACAAGGTTTCGATGTAGGCAGACCAAATAAAAATTTCCAACATAATCCTGATTACTGAACCCACTATTATGCATTTACGTTTAACTAACAAAACCCAGATTTGACCACAAAAAGAGAGGGTGGATCTCATTACTTAAGGATTAAGAGGGTTGCTAGGAACTAACCTGTGTAACTAGAGAGAGAACTTTTAGAAGGGATGACTGCCCCCATCCACCACCAGAATCTTCATTCCTTCTCTGGTTTGCTTGTTTGCAAATTTAGATGATGCGACATTCAAAACCCGCAGTATCATTGTGATCTTTGATAAAATTCCAAGCAATGAAGCACATATATTTCTACAAGAAAGCTCGTGTTGTTTTGGACACTGTATCGAACATATACATTACCCTACTCCCTCTATATTGTTGTTTTTCTTTTCTGCGTACTTATTTAAAATTTTCTGTTTTTGTATACCATATCATTCTTGTGTGGGCATGTAAATGTTCTCCAGCTTCTAGGATTAAAAGAATTATGATAATGAACTTTTTTTTGTGAATTATCACTTGTTTCTTCCCTTGCTTGACATCAAAAAGGTCAAAATGTTTTTTGGGTCCAGCAAACTCCATTCATTGTAACTGAACCATTATATTGTCTTTTTATTGGCTTACTTTCTCAGGTGAAATGCACATCACTTTGACGAATACAAATAGACTACAAAAAAGTTCGTACGATCAACATAATCAGAAACACAGCCCCCATAACGTGCATTCATCCACCAATTGAAATGAGCTGCTCTCTATTTATGAATCCCTTTTATGAGACAGACCACACTAGAGGACGAAAACCAAAAATACTAAATTTCAAGGTCAAGCAGCTTATACTTGGTATGTTCATGGTCTTTGAGAAAAAGATTATAGGTTAATTGAATAATTTCCAAGGCAAAATTTGCACCAAAGACTCTGGCATGCAGACGTTTGATAATTAGCATAATTAGACAAGACAAACCACAATTCATACATTGCCCATTCCTCTACTTTAAAATCATTTTCATTTGCTAAATTTCGCATCTCAGTGATCCACACATATCCAGTAAAACCCAAAATCATCAAAAAGAGAGCTCTCTCGAGCAAAAACTACCTACAATCACAAGTAATTCTATTGCCTCGCCTTCCATGGACTTTGAGTAGATGTTAATGCGACAACAAAGTGTAAGATTCTTGGTCTTAACAATTACAGTGGGCCTTTATACGGGCTTACTCCCTACAATCTAACATTACGTATCTATAATACGTCATCCAAGAGAAAGAGAACAAAAGATCAAACTTCAAACCCAAAAAAAGCACTGGGAGTTCTCTTACCTACAACCGCGAGTACAAGTATCACCAAGAATCATGATCGTGGCCGTGGCAGTCCCAGTCTCGCCCCCAGACCAACACTCTGCGAGATTCGGACACCTCGCCTCCTCGCAAACGGTGTGGAGCTTCGACTCCCTGAGATTGGACTTGATCTGCGCGTACTTGGCACCGCCGGGGATCTTCTGCTTCATCCATTCGGGCTTCTTGATGGGGTTCTTCTTGGTCCCCACCTCGACGGAGTAGACGAAATCGGAGAAGTCGGGGGTCTCCTCGGCGAGGCGGCGGCGGAGCTCGGCTAGGGTTTTGGGAGGGGGGGAGGGAGGGGAGTTAGGGTTTGGATCTAGGGTTTGGAGGAGGAGGGGAGGGGTCGAGGTTAGGGGTCGGGATTGGGATTGGGATTGGGATCGGGATTTGGGGGAGGCGAGGGAGCGGGCGAGGGAGAGGAGGCGATGGCGATGGCGTTGCATTTTCGGTCGAGAGGGTTCGTATCTGGAGGTTGGTCGTCGGTTGGTACGGGAGATGGGAATTGGCGATGGTGGGAGGGAGCTGTGCCACGTCAGATGGAAAATTGTTGAATATGTGATTATGTTTATTTATTTATTTACTGGAAATAGAAAGAATTAGGCAAAACTTCAATCGAAGGCTCTTGATGTTTGTAAATCATCAAATAATGTTGGGAAAATTGTGTCAAGACCCCAAAAGCAATATCTTCATGTGCTGCAGCCCCTTTATTTTTTTCCCGTGTGCTTCAGCCCCAAGAAATATCACATCATGTGCTGCAGCCCTCTTTTAGCAATTATTATCCGCCAACTAAGCATAGAGAGAGCATAAAATGTACAAAACCCCAAAATATCCTTATCTCCTCTATTCTTTCATGTTAGGTATAATTAGAGTTCACGTTAGGTCTAAATTTATGTTAGGTCTAATAATAGTTAATGTTAGGTTTAATTTCAGTTCATGTTAAAGTCTAATAATAGTTCATGTTAGGTCTAATTCCAGTTCATGTTAAGTCTAATAATAGTTCATGTAAAGTCTAATTTTAGTTAATGTTAAGTCTAATTTATGTTCATGTTATGTCTAATAATAGTTCATGTTAAGTCTAATAATAGTTTATGTTAGTTCATGTTAAGTCTAATAATAGTTTATGTTAGGTCATGTTAGGTCTAATAATAGTTCATGTTAAGTCTAATAATAGTTTATGTTAGGTCATGTTAGGTCTAATAATAGTTCATGTTAAGTCTAATAATAGTTCATGTTAAGTCTAATTTCAGTTCATGTTAGGTCTAATAATAGTTCATGTTAGGTCTAATAATAGTTCATGTTAAGTCAAATAATAGTTCATGTTAAGTCTAATTTTAGTTCAAGTTATGTCTAATAATAGTTCATGTTAAGTCTAACAATAGTTCATGTTAAGTCTAATTTCATGTTACGTCTATAATAATTCATGGTAGATTTAATAATAGTTCATGTTAGGTCTAATTTACTTCATATTAAATCTAATTTTTAATATTTTATTTACTTAACATGAACTATTATTAACTTAACATGAACTATTGTTAGACTTAAAATGAACTATTATTAGACTTAACATGAACTATTATTAGACTTAACATGACATGAACTGAAATTAGACTTAACATGAACTATTATTAGACTTAACATGAACTAAAATTAAACCTAACATGAAGTGTTATTAGACCTAACATGAATTATTATTAGACTTAACATGAATTATTATTAGACATAACATGAACTGAAATTAGACATAACATGAATTACTATTAGACTTAACATGAATTATTATTAGACTTAACATGAACTATTATTAGAAATAACATGAACTGAAATTAGACCTAACATGAATTATTATTAGACTTATTGTGAACTGAAATTAGACCTAACATAAACTATTATTTAACTTAACATGAACTGAAATTATACCTAACATGAACTATTATTAGGCCTAACATGAAATTAGGCCTAACATGAACTCTAATTTGACCTAACATGAAAGAATAGAAGAGATAATGGCATTTTGGGGTTTTCTATTTTTATCCTCTCTCTATGATTAGTTGGCGGGTAATAATTGCTAAAAGAAGGCTATTGCACATAATGTGACACTTCTTAGGGCTGAACCACATGGGTAAAAAATGAAGGGACTGAAGGACATGAAGATATTGTTTTTGAGGTTTTGACACAATTTTCCCAATAATGTTTGCTCCATCTTCGGTGATTCTTTTATGCTCTGTTAGGGAGCTCACTATGGATAGGGAAGGAATGATAATTTTTTTTACTTCCCTTTCTTTTCCCTTTTTTACACCCCAATTTAGGGTGTAACATTTAAGTGTAATTTTTTCCTATCTTTCCCTCCTTTACTCTCCTAACAAAACTCCCAAACAAATTTAATTTCAAATTTCTCTTCTCTTTCCTTCTTAACCCTCCATCCAATTATAGCATTAGAAAATCTCCATGGCTGTAAGCGTATAAAATTGCTTATAGGTCCCTTAGCATAGCTCGGCACAAACAGACGAACCAACGAGGCGACGAGGTTGACGAATCGCACGTAAGCAACGGAATACATCCATTCGCGTGTGGAATCAAGCCAAGTGTTCGAAGAGTCAACGAGTCATCCAACCAAGGGCAGACTCGGACAAATCACGATCGAATCAAGATCAGTTTCGAACTCAAACTCAAAAGCCGATTTACTGCCTAATCAGGAATCAGATCTACTGCCAAATCATATCAACAAATCAGAGTCCGAATCAACCACGAGACCGGACAAAACGACGAAACCCAATGCCTAAGGGGGGCTCGGCCAAAGCCGAGCCACCCATGGGTGGTAATCCCTCCCGGCTATTATTCCCTTCGTGGAATAATACCCGCATACTCGTGTAGATCCGACCGGATCTAGATCGCGCGGTGGTCCACGGATTAACCCCGGCGTCGGCAAAGAACCCACACAAGCAAGAGACCGCAAGCGAGCGACCGCAAATTTGTTCTAAAGGAAAGTTGTAAAAGGAAAGTTGTAATCTTTTTCTTTTTCTTTGATTTCGTTGTAACTGGATCTAAAAAAGACCGGATCTTTTGTAACCGAAAAAAAATAGTTATTCAAGATAACAATGAATTCAATGAAGGCAATTTTCACAGCGAACAATCTGGCGACCACAGTGGGAGCCACCGATCTCGCTGCCGCGATCGTCACGTCTCAGCCGCGGATCTCAATCCCGGTCGAGGAGGAGGTCGAGTATGAATTCGACCAGGCCAAATTCGAGGAGTACCTTTCATCCTCGTCCGGATCTACCTCCCCCCGCAAGTCCAAGAAGTTCTCCTCCAGGAGAAAAGCTCGTTGGTTTGAAAAAATTCAGAACGCCAACGAAGCTCTCACCCCAGCTGACGCCAAAGTTGCGTCAGGTGAAGTTCCACCGACTTCCAACGAGGTCAAACCTGTTCTTGTCAACGCTTCTACTGTTGAAGGCGTTGTGACTCTCTCGAAGAGAGCCCGCCAGAGGCGACGTCAACGCTTTGCCCGGCAATTCGCCAAAGCGATGGAGTTCACGGACGGGGTCCGCTACAATGTGGATCTGAAGAATAGGAGAGGCAAACAGCCTCAACAACTGAAGAATGGCGGTTCCTCCAAGCCGCCAACGAACGAATGGATCCGAGTCAAACGGAACCGTTCGACACTTGAAGAGCGGATTCACAAATGTCGTGCACTACTTGCACAAGCAAAAATCCTTGTGCAGAAGGCCGAAGAATTGAAGAAAGAAAGAGTGGCCAAGAAGCCGCCATCAACCCGCCAAGTGTGGAGGCCGAAACAGCCTCCAACCAAAGTTCAACCTCCGGTGAATCAACCAAAGTCGCCGATAATCCCAATAGCTTCTCCGGAAGATCATGCAGAATCATCCCGAAGGAAGAAGCAAGTCCTGGAGTGCCTCGGTCCGATTCCCGACGAGAGAGGCAAAGCTCCTGTTCAAGATCGTTTGGGCCCGATGAAGAAGCCCCGGACGACACAACATGCTGGGGGTCGCCGCCACCTCCAACATGACAAAGAGACCAGGGCAGTCATGCGCACCAACTTGCGCATTGAAGTCCAGGAGCCCGCCGAGAACTCACGCCCAAAAAGGCATGTTTCGAGGCGCGTGACTTTCGAAAGCCCTAAGAAAGCAATTCCCCCTCAGAAGGAAACATTATCGTCTAATGACGATAGTGTTATATCTAAGAAGTCGTGCCAACACACGATAGGTTACTCCGATCGTCAGACAGACGAGTTGTACTATCGTGCTGGGGGTACGAATAAAACCAGGAAAAGAAGTCCCCGAGAACAGGAAACTCAGTGCCCCTGTTCCAAACTCATTCGGGCAGTATTGTCTAAATGCAGCTGCATCAAGGCGGTCCCCGAACGAGTTTCGGTTTTCGAAAGGCTCAGTACCGAAATGCCGAAAACAAGGCCTAGGCGTTTCCGTCGAAGAAGAACGGTAGTTGAAGAGGGAGAATTTCCGAGGGTCACCACCAACATGACCAGCAGAGGGACATTGGCGCGGGACAACCTCGAATTGATTCTAAAAGCATCCCGGCCTAGAACCCGTCTGCAGTCCGGAACCATCAAGCGAGCAACCTATGGTAGGGTTCGAACAAGACTCCCTTCAGAAGATGAAGAATCTGATGCCGGCTCCGCGGTTGCATCTGATAATACGGGATCCAGCGAGGGGCAAGTGGCTAAAATGCTTGAAGACGCCTTAGCTAAGCAACAGGAAACCTTCAGGTTCGAAATGCAGATGGCCATGCAAAACATGAGAGAAAAGCATGACCAACAAATCCAAGCATTGACGAACCAGCAAGGCGAGCCAAGTCGTCGTAACCCGGTTAATCTGGAAGGTGAAGACACTAATACGAATGAGACGCATAATGCCAATAATCCTCCCGTCAATGCAGGGGTGGTAACGAGAATGTCAACGCAGACTTGGGTGAAAACTTGAAAATTAAAAATCTCGAGAGCAAAATTAATACTTTGATTTCCGCTCAAGAAATGAAGAAAACAGGCATTCCTTGTCCATACCCAAGAGAGTGGGAATCAATCCCATATCCGGCGAAGTTCAACCTAATTAACTTCACGCCGTTTAATGGGATGGGTCCCCACTCAACATTTGATTTACTTCAAATTACACTTGAGGGTAATTTCCGGCAATGAGCCTCTGATGGTGCGGTCATTCGTTGGCACTCTTCGTGGAGCCGCCTTCGATTGGTATCGCCGCCTCAAGCCAGGAAGCATAAATAGCTGGGATGACATGGAGACCAAATTCCTCTCCAACTTCTTCGATGACGACACAGAGATATCCATTGGGTCGTTGCTTGATGAGAAACAGAAAGACGGGGAATTGGTTGACACCTTCGTCAAAAGGTTCCGGAACAAGGCGATGAACTGTCGGGACCCGATCACCGAGGAATTCATTCTCCAGACTTGCCACAACAACCTCGCACTGGACGTGTTGGAAGCAATGGGGACAGCACCATCCAAGACATGGAAGGATCTGAAGGTCCGAGAGAGGCCAGCAGGCGACAAATGCTCC